GCGACATAGCCATTACGTTAACTGCTGGTTAATATGCAAACATAATCTAACCAAGCCTCCAAACACACAGTTTTCACTTAAACAAATCCAAAAACAATCCAGACAGTCTATAAAACAACTGGCCTTGTATGGCAAGTTAAAGTCATTGTAAAAAAAAAAAGAAAAAAGGTATAGTGTGGGGGAGGAGCTTCTGTTCTACATTAAGACATTAAAGAACCAGACCAACTGAAGGCTTAACCCAGCTACAAATGGACTCTGAACCCTGAGACAGCCTTGAGATATTTGAAAATGAGCCATTAGAGTACCACAGAATTATTTTCTTAAGTATGATAATGGTCTTGCAGAGGCGTAAGAGAATATCCTCATCCTCAAGAACGCCTGAGTTAAGAAGTACAGCATCCTGATGTCTATAATTTACTTTCAAAGAGTTAAACAAAACCCCCAGAATTACATATACACATACACATGTAAAGCAAAAGTGGCAAAATGTTAACTACGGAATCCAAGTGGAAGGTGTTCACTGTACTTTCGACTTTGCTATGTTTGAAATTTTATATAACAAAAATCTAGGCAGGAAAGTGACTGAATTCATTAATTGGGGCATGCTATAAGAAAATCAGAAGTCCTCAACCTGAGAAAATCGTCGGGGTTCAAAAGGAGAGAGGGACACTGCCTGCCATTATGGCCACCCATCTGGGCTCACCTGTCTCCCACTGACCCTGCTGAGAATCTGAAGAACTGTTTGACTGCCGACGGCGACGACAACTGCCTTCTGTCCTTTTGGAAGAAGAGCTGGAGGTGCCATAGCTGTATCGTTCTGGAGACACTGGTCGGAAAGAATGGAAACAAGCATTCAGAACCTCCAGCCCCTCCCAGGCTCAGCTCTTCACCCCTATCCCTAGAAGAATGCATATATCACAGGGTGCCTAAATTCCCTAAATGTCAAAGCCCAAATACCTGCTCTTCCTCAAAGACTACCTGCCCTGCCCAGAGGTTGCTCAGACACCACCCCCAAGAAAGAAGACTCATCACCTCCTGGGGCCGCCTGACTCATGGTTACAGCCATTCAAACTGTCAGGATTATTATGTAAGTAGTCATGGTCAGGATACATGCCATGGCCTATGCCATCATCAGCTGTCCCCAGTTCTCCCTGAAGTACCCAGAAGTATGCAAGCCCCTCCGCTGGCTCCCTAAATCTTCTCTTTTAGCATCTAACTCTCAGATATTTTTCCAAAAACAAACAGTCCTCCCCGTGGAGTTACCCTTCTCCTAGTTATCCATATCTCATGGGCTTACTCTGGGCCAGGAAAACCCAAGATCCCCTCCCCAAACTCAGACACGGGCTCCTGGCAGCCTGCAACCTCCCCAGCTCCTCACCTTCTCAGGAATGCTCTCCTCCAGAAGCACTTCGTTCTATTACAAGGATTAAGGAGATCAACTCTAGAGAAAGTCCTACTGGGTTTGAATCCTGGCTCCCACTGTCTACCTATCTTACCAGTAAGTCTTTTCATGGCATGGCTTCCCAACTACCTCTCTGCCCTTGCTTGGGTCCCCTCTGCTTCTGCCATACTGGCCTCTGATGATGCCATGCTCATCCCACCTGGTGGCTTAGATGCTTGCCTTTCCCTTCTGCCTAGAATTGCTCCCATGAGACCCGTGCACACCTGGCAGGATGGCCTCAGTGCCAGTGTCATATTCCTAGAAAGGTCTTCACTGGTTATCTTCCTCAATTTATGGCCCTGGCTCCTCTCTCTACCCCATTACTTTTAGTCCTCCTACAACCATTTCTAAAAATGTTTATCTGTTCCACTGTGATTCCTTCACCAAATGTAAACTCCGCAAAACACCTTGTCAGCACCATCACCTGTATCCCCCAAGCCAGGCATGTTGGATTCAGTTTTTACATGTGAGCAAGCTGCTCAACGTCTCTGAACCTGTCGTTGAGAGGTACAGGGAGGTCAGGAACAGGACTTCCTTGTAAATATTGGGAGGACACAGGCTCACATATGTGCCTGGCATGAAACAAGCCCTCGGCAAACTGAGGCCACAGCCGTCATTATCGATGTGGCTCACCCCTCCCAGAGCCATGCAATCTCCCCTTTTGGGTTTCTCAATGACAGTCTGGCAAGAGGGAGAAAAGGACTGGGACACAGCCAGTCTCACACGGCACTGTCCATATCCGGGAACCACGGGGCTGAGCAGGAGCAAGGCCCTTTCGCCATGGAGGCCTGGCACCCTCCCATTCAACCGTACCTGGCCGGCGCCGCTTGCGAGCCAGGTGCGGCAGCAGGTCGTGGCGGGCCAGCACGCG